GGAGGAACTAGGACTGATCCTTTCCATCTCTGCAGATTGGCAGTTAAGCACTAACAGGCCGGCATCCTTCAGTGGCAAGCACAGATTACTGGGATGCGTTCTGGTAACGACACTGATAAAGGTGCCACAATTACAGCTGAAATACCTACTTCCAAAAAACCTGAATTAAACTTCTAGAAACTACTTGGAGAGAAAAATCAGCTGCTTTCGTCTTCAGCCACAACTTGTGCAAGTTAGAGAAATAAACTGTAATCCACTTGCACACAAAATCATGTTCCTGCATGTTAGAAAGTAGGTAACCTTTTCTTTTTCTAAAGCAATGATGCCATTAAAATTGCCTTTTGCTAACTTTAATTAGGTTAAAAAACAAAACAAAACACGCTGCACAACACACTTTGTACTTTCTTAAATGCAAGCATTCTCAGCAATCTTGATAGCTGATTTCTCTGACAGAACTGAATTCCAGATTATGACAGTTTTGAAAGCAAGCATGTAAAGTCTAGTCCTTATTTCATCACAGCAAATTCCAATAACTGTTGAATGTATACCTCATGACAACATGAAAAATTAAAACTGTGTCTACAGCTTAGACTGCTGAGGACTGTAAAGTTGAACAACCATGTAAAAGTACTGGCATGTACCAAAAGCAAAATAGCCACAGGTGTGTTGCCAAGAACGGAGCTCAGGTACAAAGTAAAGAGATGAATTTTGGACATTGGTTCCATTATTGGCTTTTATATGCCTCCCAGAAAACATCAGCAGAAGCTAAACGCGCTGTATTCATGCAAGTGCCAAGAAGTCTGTGAAGTCTCTTCATAGAGGAGAATCAGATATAATAATACAATTTCACCTTTTGTTTCAAAGGAATAAATTCACCTGTTTTAACTGACTTCTTCTCTTTGACAGAAGAATAATATTTTCATTGAGAGCATCCCAGTCTTTAGCTTCATAACACATCTTCACTATTGCCACTAAGATACGCGATGTGGAAACCATGTCAGAAGCCTGTAACAGATAAGTAGTGTATTAGTGATGGAAAAAACAACCTGCAGATCTGTCACTTGCATTGCTATGATATAAAGAGGAAAAAAATCCACTGTATCTCATCTCACTGATAAGAACGACAAAAGACTGATGCTACAATTCCCTTTAATACAATAGAACAGGGGGCAAGGGGGAGGTGTAGACCAACACAGCACTAAATGATGCACACCACACTTACCGTTCGTGTTTGTTTTTCCAAGGAGAGAAGGTTTTCAATTACTTCTTGCAATCTCCCCTCCTAGTGCGATAGGAAAAGAAAGTAAAAAAAAAAAAATCAGTAAAAAGGAAAAGCTTTGGGACTGCAAAATGTTTAGAAACAAGATGAACGACAAAAGAGAGGAAAAGAAAGCTGGTTCTAAAACATACCTATTGCACTGAAATTCTTCCAAAGTATATACATTGGTCTGAAGGATGTGCTCTTACTGCCAATGAATATTATGTGGGAAAGAAACATGGCCACGATGCCCATACTTACACAGAGCTGCACCCATGGGATAAAACGTCTGTGCTAGTAGCAGTCTGAAGGCAGCAGAGCACACAGCCTTCTTATTTGAAAGCTACTGCCTTCAAAATCCTACAATACACCATACAGCCCGGAACGTCTCTGACCAGACCTGCTGATCAAGCAAAGCACCGCCAGTGCATAGGAACCAGATGCCATCCTGCTGAAACAGGACAGCAAACCCAGTCCCATTGCTGTGGGGTTGGAGAGCCTCTACACTGCAAAACAAGGTGCACAGAGAAACCTCAAAACAAGGCCCGTAGATAACGCTCAGCTGCACCGTACCCGCACCGAGCGGTCGTGCACAGCCGTTACTCAGCACAGCCCCGCTCGCGGCCACGGCTCCGCTGCTTTTCGGGTCGCACACAGCTGAACCGCGCGGCTGCCGCGCGCCGCCCGCCATCCTGACTCGGGACAACAGCACGGAGGCGCCTGACGCGCAGCGCTCCTGTAAGGAGCGGCCACCTCCGCCCCGTCCCGCACCCCGCAGCCGCCCGTTCGGCCCCCCTCGGCCCGCAGCCCGGCCTCCGCTCTCGCCTCGCTCAACCCGGGCCCAGCCCGCACGGTGCCATGACTCAGCCCATCCGCACCGCCCGCCTTTCCCCCCGCCGCACCTGCGCCAGCCTCTCGCACTCGGGCAGCCGCTGGTCCACCGTCGCGCTATAATCCACCTCCATTTTCACGATGCGGCCATCGGCCCGCTCCGCGCCACCGTCCGCCATGGTCCCGGCTCCGCTCCGCGTACCCCCGCGAACACACACACACACCGGAAGAGCGCGGCGCGCAGGCGCAACCGGGACAACCCGGCGGAAGGGCCCGCACTGCACCAAGCAGGCGCTGCCGAGGGCACCTCTGAGCGGGGCGAGGCGGGACGTGAGGGGGTGCCTCTGTGAGGCGGTCCGTGCAGGGCCAGCGGGCGGTCGGTGGAGCGGGATTTCCCGCCACTCGGTGTGGCGGTTTGCTGCCCGCCAAGTGCTTCAGCGCCCCTCGGGCTGCTGGCTGAGATGTTCCCACGCTGTGGTGATGCTCACATCTCACGTGTCCGTAGTGTGAGGGAGATGTGTGTATGAGTGAGGGGGGGAAGGGGAGTGAAGTCAGTACCACCGCGATTTTACGCCATTTCTCCGCATTCTGAGGCAAACGCAGCCAGCGTGAACGTGGCGTAGCGCAGCCCCGGGCGTAGCGCTGCTGTGTGGTGCGGGCGGAGCTGCGGGCAGCCCTCATGGCACAGCTTCCACTGCAACACCCACAGAGGATGTCCCCTAAAAGGCATCTGATAAACGTCCTTCTGAGAAAAAGTCCCACGTTCCAAAGGTTGTTGTCGGAATCGCCGCTTCTCGCTCCACACGCGTGCACAGACAGCACAGGGAGGAGCTGTGGCAGAACGTGTGGGCCAGTGCAGCAGGCACAGGAGGTGCGTTTGGTTTCCATTTGACTTAGCGATGAAGTCGCTTCAAGGCCCCGTGCAAAGTTCAGTTTTTACAGCGTTTTTTCAGCAGGAGACCAGATGATTCTTTTTCCCCAGTTCATTTAACTAATAAATCACTTATAAATGCAATAAGTAGATCTGAATTTGGATCTCTGTCCTCTATAGGTGATACTACAGGTACTGCCTCGTTTGGGCTATTTTGCATGAAAGTTTCATTAGTATGTGCTACCAACCTTATGGATCGTGACTACAAGCTGGATGTTTACAAATGGCTGTTGTCAAATTTGAAGCAGAAGACGTAAACCACATTGTTCAAGCCTCGTTTGAAAGCCCAGGCTGTTAGCAGAGCTCCTGGATTTTCTATTTCTTTGTGTTCCACCGGGAAGTCAGGGTGTGTGAAATATGTGCCGTTAATGGAACGGAGCAAAAAAAATTACATCGTTAGCTCCAGGAGATGGCACTGCGTCCTGCCTGCACTTCAGATGATATACATCGCCTTGAGATCTACGTTCAGAGCCAATGAAAACCTGAGGGGTTCTGCTCTTATTATGAAACGCGTTTCATAGTAGACCTCAATTCGTGTCCAACTGCCCCCAATATGGCATTTGATCACTCGTATCTTTGCAAATAAACTAGATGAAAGTGCAGGTGTGTCTTCTGCCACTGTGCAGCGCTTTATATTTCACGCTGCAGTCACAGGGCTTCCTTGCAAGCTGTGTTTTATGGCCATTCACTTGATAGAAGCAGCAATGTACACATGCCATGATTTATTCACAGTTACATAAGCACTTGGCTTTCTTAGATGGCTTCAGAGTTAGCTGCCTGTGTAGAGCGAGGTGGAAATTAATAACAATTTATCTGAAACAACAAGAAAAAAATACACTAGAAAAAAAAAAGGTTTAGCTATCAGGAAGAAGAAAGAAAAGGCCTCCCCCAGCGGTCCTGGCTTTGTTGTTCAATTGGGAAGGAGACACTTTGTCACTGAACTTTGCATGCAGCATTTGAAAGTAAATAACTGAGACAAAAAAAAAAAAAAAAAAAAAAAACAAAAAAAAAAACAGTTTTATTTGTGCAGCCAACTCGGCAGGCTGATAGCGACGGGCTGACCAGAAGGGAAATGGGTGAGGCCTTCACATCCTGTGCGGGTATCTCCCCTGCACACACTGCGCGCTGCTGTTGTAACGGAGCCGTGCGGGCAGCCCCGGCTGCGCCCTCGCAGAGCGCCGCCTCGCCTTGTCGTGCGGCCGGCAAAGCGCGTCCCAGCGGGGTGAGGGTGCGGCCGGCACAGCTCCTACAGCCCGCGGTGCCCCCGTCCCGGAGCCCCCTCCCCCAACCCGCGGCTCCCCGTGCCGGGACGCTTAAATCCGCCCCATTGGCGGCGGCTGCCGCCCGCCCTCCTTCCTGCCGCGCCGTGATGTCAGCCGCGCCCCCGCCGGGGCCGCCGCTCCGCGGCTCCATCCAGGCCGGCCGCAGCCCGCCCGCCCCTAGCCGCACCGCGGGGCCCCGCGGCCGCCGAGCGCTGCCCCGAGCCCAGCGGGAGCAGCGGCGGTCTGGGAGGAGGCGGGAGCCGCGCTCGGCAGCCGGGGGAGGAAGCGGCAGAAAAAGCCTTTGTCTCGGAAATCGGCGTCGCGGCTCTCCTGCCGGCGGGGCGACAGCCGCGTTCCGGCTCGCTCGGTCTTTTCGCCGCCCCGGGCATGTCTTGACACAGCAGCGAGAGGCCGCCGCTTTCGTGCGCTTCCGACGGATGTCTTTGAGCGTGCGACGGCGCTTCGGCTTCGAGACTTCTTTGTAGAGGTCCGTGCGTGTGCGAAATTCACATGATCGCGGGCTGAAGGAGGAAGAACGGGAAGAAAGGAGCGGTTGTGCTGCCGTTCTCTGCCCGCCCGGCTGCTCGCGGGGCTGCGCGGCGGACTCAGCGCCGAACGCGCACGGAGACGCGAGGGCACGAAAGCACGAAGGCGATCCGCTGCCCCGCGCGCGGCTGCGGGCGCGAGCACTGCGCGGCATCGAGCGCTTCTCGGCTGGCCGCTCCGCACCGACGCACGGGAATATGCTGATGAAGGAGTACCGGATCTGCATGCCGCTCACCGTGGAGGAGGTAAGCTGCGCTCGGCTGCTCCCGGGCTCTTTTCTGCCGAGGAAGTTGGGGTCGGCTTTGCTGCGGGCGTTTGTCCTTCGTGTAACAAACTTGGGCTCGTGGCTGCCCGGAGAAGCATGTCTGCCGTGCAGGATAGAGGCGTCCTGCGGGAGCGGAGGTGTCCGGAGAGTGTGAGAAGGCCGACGGTCAGCTCGGAGCTCCTGCAACCGGACGAGTGGGAGAGGAATTCGGTGCGCGCTTCGAGGGCTGTGCGGTCGGATCCCGAACCCGGGGGAGGTTTACCCGAAGCCCACATTATAAACATATCCTCACCTTTGCTCAAAATAACCTTGTAGATAGAACTAGCACAGGTGGGGTACGCAGGCGGTAATTTATTGGCAAAACTTTGTTTTGTTTTGTTTTTGTTTTTTTTTTTTTTGTCATGTAACGAAACGGTTGGAAGTCACAAACTGCTTTTTCTCCGTGTTCTGAATTCGCGTTCGGAAAGCTACGCTTTATTTATCTGCTGACGCCCCGCACTCTACGTGCTTACAGCTCTAGGTGCGATAGCAGTACAGGTACAGCACGCGCACTGTACGTTCTTGCGCACACGCGCGGCGCACGCCCGGAGGCGCAGCAGTGCCGGTGTCCGCAGCCGAGCGCGGCGGGGCAGCGGCGGGGGCAGCCGTCGGCGCGCCCGGAGCCGTTTGGCCGCCAGGGGGCGCTCTGCCCGCAGGTGCCGCGGGCTGTGGCCTGCGCTGCTGTGCGGTTCGTGTTGTTGCGCCTTGAAGCCGCCGCGTATTGCCTTGGGCTGCTCGTGCCTCGTGCTGGGAGCGGGGCTCCGAGCCGCCGCGTGCCTGAGGGCACGTCGGTAGGCATCGCTTTTGTTTCTGGTGATTTTTCGACGGAGTTATACAACGCGTTGTGCTGTTGTATGGTAGCTTTTCAGTACACAACTTTATTTGGTTATTGTATTATCATAAAGTAGACCGCATTTTATCTGAGCCAGTTCAGACTACTGCGCTTGTGAACATCATCTCATGTCATCAGAAGGAAGCAGATCTAATTCATGTTAAGCGGATCTAAGTTTTATTAAACAAGCTTTCTGGGTAGAGAAAAGTTCAAAACGTTCCCTGTGCAGGAATGGCTGATGTGTGGTGGGACAGGAGGTGCTGGAAGCCTCCTGCTCTAAAGAATGTTCTCAGTTAGCAAAGGTACAGCGTCTAGTTTGTTCGACTTGGAATCTTCCAGGTCCTTAATCCAGGAACTGCAGTTGAGGTGGCTTCACAATGGACCTAGGGTGTGTCTGATACATGGCAAGAACTTCATTATTAATTATACAAACAATCCATGACAAAACTTTGAAACTTTCATAACTTTTTTTTGTATTGTTTGCTTACAAAAAAAGTCTTGCACTGTATTTCTCATAGTGCTCATCTTTGTGATGCGTCCTACAGTCTCTGAAGGTGGCACTGTATTTTGCCTTCAGTTCTACAGGAAGCACCAACGATGTGTTTCTTTGCATCTGTGTAGGAGATGCATTAGGCAGCCGTGAGGAGAACCTAAAGGCGCAATTACACAGCACTAATAGTGCTGTGGCACTATGCTGTGGTTCCTATTCAATTCTGAGGCTCATCCATTAAAGGGAACTTTTATTGACAGGTTTTTAAGGGCTGTTACTGTTGTAAGCTCCCAGCTTAGCCTTGAAATATTGTTGTGAAAGGAAGTATCATGTGAACTTTCAAGCAAAATGACAACTACTGGAAGAACTATGCAGGTTAGGTCAGAACATGGCTGTTGGTTGAATAAGCCAACAACATTGCCAATTGGAAGTCACTTTGTACTTCATTTGTGTTGCTACTGGATTGCATGTATGCAGATTCACTCCTTTTGTTAAAACTGAGACCTTACAAATTACAAACAGCCATTTCTTTTCAGCAATACATAAAGCAAGTTAAATCTGTTGCAGTAATTGCTTGGGATGTGTTGCCAAACTTCAGGCCAGCTGCAATTAATGAATAAGCTTGCTTCTTGGTTATTTCTCTTCTTGCATTTTCGTTTATTAGTTCGTTCTTACAAATAGTTACATAATATAAGAGAATATCATAAGAGGATGCATTGTGTTGGCTTTATTAAGCATCGTCTGTTGAAAACATGTTCTGCAGCAAATGAAAGGAGCACCGAGTCATCCAGAGTAGCAAAGATGCTTAAAAGTTGTCCAACTCTTTCTCTGCAAATCAGAATTGTGTAATTCCTCATAGGAAGGATCATATGGTTTTGTGCCATAGAGGTGCCTTTATGTGAAATCTGCCAGGTGAGCATGTTTGTGAGCTTCCACTTTGGAAGAGGTGAAGCGTGGTGAAGTTGGTGAAGTTGATTTATGTGGGAAGTGATATTTTTTAGGGGGAGTAGGTGGAAAGACATTTCTGCTGGATCATGTTGAAAGTGGAGTTGTTAGTGCTGTAAAATGCTAATAAAGATGTGATGCTGGGTCACATACGTTTTAAAGCTGCATGTAAATTACAGTAATCATCTTTTTCTTTACTTGAAAGTGGGATGGGTTTGTTCTGATCTATGTATGTGTAGGTAGTATCTAAACAAATGAAAACCAAACAAACAAAAACAGAATTTCTTTCCTTTGTTCTTTATCTCAAGCAAGATTATCTCTGCTGAAGTTGGTGGAACTGTGCCCATTCGATGCTGTAAACACAAGCTCAGTGAGTTCTGTGGGCAGTGCTGCCTGAGTGAGCTGCGCAGGAGCAGCTGTGCTGCCGGAGTGCAAACAAGCAGAGACCTGCAAAGTGTTCTTCAATGGAGATTGTGATTTACACCGAAGATCCTTTTAGCACTTACTTAGAAATGATGGCCTGAGGGGTGCTGTGATTCCTTTTTTTTACCAGAAGCACCCAGCTTTTAGCTCACTTCAGAATTCTGAGCATTATAAATTCTCCCATTGTGGATTGTTTACATAAAATTATTTCAGCAATGTGCTTGTAAGCAGTATTTGTGTTCTCTGAATGTTGTGTGCACTTCTCCTTTGAAAGATTTCATGGTCGGCTGTTTTGTGTACAAAGAACTTGTTAAAGCATGTTTTATGCCTGAGCTCAATGAAAGCATTTGAAGTGTTTTATGCTGAGAGCTGCAGGTGGACAAACCCATCTGTCTGTGTACCGGAGAAACCCTCAGTGGGGTGTGAAGTGTATGACACATTGCTCTAAGCTACTGATACTCACTCTGCAGTTAATACAGACACATGAGGTCGTCTGAGCATTTTCTTTCCAGCTGCAACCAAAGAACGTATTTTCACCAAAACGTAGATGTGTGCAACATCTGAAAAAGTGATGTGTTGTTTGTAAGCAAGAGCACTAGGGGCAAGCAGGAGGTGAAATTCAGCTGTTGAGTTTGCTTTTAATGACCTGTAAATCAAACAAATCGGGCCGTGTCAGGAACATGGCCTCTGCAGAAATACTTACTGTGGCAGTTTTGAGCTGATGCTGTCCAGCAGAAATGAAGGCTTGTTGTGTGATTTCACTTGAGTCTGAACTGGAGGCAGCTATAAGATAGCTATACTCTTACACTGATCCCTTTAAAAGTTAGTTACAGCGCTATGAGAAGTGCCACTTCTTTCTGTACTTGGTCATTCTTTTTGGAAGTGCCTTACAGGAACGTGAGAATTTTTACCTTCTTTCTGCAGTTAATGGTGTGGAGGCTCTGCTGCGTTTGTCAGAGGGACAGACTCAATGACTGATCTCAAAAAGGTCTTTACTCCATTATGGACCCTTCAAAAGAAATCCCTGTGTACAACTCCCCACAGACAGCTGATCTGGTCTTTTGTGCACGCTCCTGTCTGCTGTGTCACTGGACCTTGGCTGCTCTGTGCCCTTACATTGACCCAAAGCTCAGGGGCTGCGAGGAATCTTTGCAACAACACTGCAGATAACATAAGTGAGTGAAAGCATCAGCACTTGTAGTACTAAGTAAGGCTTTTTCACTCTCTTTTGACACAGGACAGTCATAAGAATGAAGAGTTGGCAGTGAGAACTGTATTTTAGTGTGGGAAGGAAGTGAATGCCTTGCCTTAGCCTGACCTTCCCATTGCAGCCATGGCCACCTACACAGCAGTGAGGGCAGCTGACAGACCTACACTGCAAATCAGGAGACCGAAAATAACTGATTTTCTTCTCCACTCTCATTTGCACATTGCAATACATTTCTTTGAGGGAAACAAGAAAACCTTTGTTCTTAGTTTTGGTGTAAATCATTAAAAAAATCTTTCAGTGCAGGGGATTAGGTATTACCTGAGGAACTCCAAACTCTGTCATGCATCTCTCTTCATCTCTGCTGCTCTCTTGTCTCTTCTTGTCAACACTTCTCCAAGGGGCATATACATACAGCAAATAATACTGCACATTTGATGTGGTGGCAAAATATAGGGGCACGTTTTGCATTTCTCTTAAAAGACAATGCAGCTTGATGGTGCTCTAGGCCAGTTTCTAGCTAAAGCACTATATGGATGTGTGGATGTATTCTGATGCTGTCAAGAACTCCCATGAAGTGTTTATCTTTGAACCATAAAATAGATTTGGAAACTACGGAACAGAGAGAAGGGCACAAAATGTCAATAATGCCTTTTACAATGCAGTGCTTTGTTGGCATTTTTATTATTTATTTTCTGGGATGAACTTCAAGCTACTGAGAGCATGAAGTTCTTGTAAAAGTGGATGTGAATTCTGAAGGATCAGCACTTTGGAAATTGAGGCCCCTATCATTTATGTGCCTAATAATGAACACACTGACACCTTGATGTTATGTACTCTGGTATGCCAAGTGCATTTTCCTGGAGTCCAGTCTGTTCTTCTTTCTCGTGTGTCTAATTATGAGTTTAGAAATCAGATTTATACGTGTTTTCACCTGTTTTTTGACTGACTGCTTCTAGTGGAAATGCTGAGTTGGGGTCTGAGGCAGTGGTGGAGCACCTGGTGGGAAGGCAGGGCCAACCCAGAGGAGCTCAGGTGCATGCA